TGACTGAATAAAACCATCGCCTTCTACAAAGAATCTTCTCATTCATCAATCTGCCGTCTATCTGCCACCCAATACCAATCATAGAGCTACTCCTAAACTTATTCCCTTTAGTCCATGTTTTTATTCCTTTCACAAAGAACTTGTGGTTGTTTGAGAACAACATGAGCTGTCTTAACTCTATATCATTGTTTCATTGTGTTATAGTCGTCCGACTTCAAAACCGATCACATGCAGAAGAAGGAAATTGTGCTTTTAGTCGATGGCCCAAATAGATTATAAATATCGCCACTGCGAAAATCGTGAAATGTACATTATTCTTTTGTTTATTATGCGTGAAACCAGCGTTGATCCGAAACATAAAAAAAACAGCACAAACAAAAGTTAACTCGAAAACAGGCAATTTAGAAAGAAAAGTCTCGTTGTATTATTTGAACGGAAAGATTTAGTCGTGCAAAAAGAAAGGTCTGCAAGTCTCGACTGAGGCACATTATCTTACGCAGAATTTTGCTTTCTGAAGCTTATGCGTCGGCCGTGTTTACCCGAAAATAAACAAATTAGATCGACAAGATAAACACAGGAAATCTTTTGTAATAAATGGATTGACTGTTTTCTGGTAGAATCTGAAGATTTGTTAAGGGATTAACAGGTTCAAACGCTGCATGATATAGGTACTTCCTAGAAACTTCGAAAACAAAAAATAAGTTTAGTTTTCAGAAATTCAACTGCATAACCTTAGAAGGTCCATTTTTATAGAGGAAATTCCCTGATGACAAACCTTTCAAAACCCCTTTCGCCAGGTATACCGGTCGTGACCGGTCACGAAATCTAGATTTTTTTTATTTAAAAAATTTAGTTGAAGTAAAACGAATTTCTGTCTAAAATATTGCAATTAACCAATCAATAATATGGAAAAATTAGGTTCTGAAATTCGCTAAGAACACTGAAATACCCTTACAATTTGGTTGAGACACAATTTATTTATTTGTGCCTATTTACAGTCATTTTGAGAAGGTGCTTCATATAGGAACAT